TTCTCATAATCAAATGTTATTTCAAATGAAAAATTAAGTTGAATAAGACTGTGGGTTAAACTTTAAGGTCAGGGTCACAAGGTCAAAAACAAGAGGCCCATGGGCCACATCACTCACCTGAGCACATTGGCTAGGGAAAAAAAAGCAAAAATCAGTTCAGTATTGAAAGTTTACTGGGGGGGGGGGGGATTTAAACTAACTAATGATGCTTTCATATCAATATAACAAATGGCTTTTCTGTTCTTGAGAAAAAGATTTTTTCCTATATATTCCTCTGTAAACTTTGATCATCCATTGTGGCCCCACCCTACCTCCGGGGGTCATGATTTGAACAAATTTGAATCTACACTACCTGAGGATACTTCCATATAAATATGACCAATCATGGCTTTGCTGTTCTTAAGAAGAAGATTTTAAAGATATTTTCCTATATATTTCTATGTAAAACTTTGATCCCCCATTGTGGTCCCACCCTACCCCTGGGGGTCATGATTTGAACAAACTTGAATCTACACTACCTGAGGATGCTTCCATATAAATATGACTGATCATGGCTTTGCTGTTCTTAAGAAGAAGATTTTTAAAGATATTTTCCTATATATCTCTATGTAAAACTTTGATCCCCCCATTGTGGCCCCACCCTAACCCCAATGGTCATGATTTGAACAAACTTGAATCTACACTACCTGAGGATGTTTCCACATAAGTTTCATCTTTCCTGGCCAAGTGGTTCTTGAGAAGATTTTTAAATGATGCCATTATTTTTTCACTAATTCCTAATTATTTCCCCTTGAAAGAGGGCATGGCCCTTCATTTGAAAAAAAAACTCAAATCCCCTTTACCCACCGATACTTTGTGGCAAGTTTGGTTGAATTTGGCCCAGTGGTTCTCGAGAAGAAGTCAAAAATGTGAAAAGTTTACAGACAGACAGATGGACAGATAGATGGACACTAGTCAAAAAGTGATCAGAAAAGCTCACTGGAGCCTCTGGCTCAGGTGAGCTAACAAGAGTATACAATAGGAAATTTCTTGAAACAGGTAATGCACATGTCATATGTAAATGCCTTATCTTCTCTCAATCAAACGCTATCAGCAATTTTCAATTTTTTTTAAAAATTAGGTCAAACTTCAAGGTCAAGATCATGGGATTAAAAATTAAAGAACATTTGGAAATGCTTGTCACAGGCAATGCATGTGTCAAATACGAATGCCCTGTCTTCACTCCTTCAAAAGTTTGGAATACTGATAAAATGTTTGAAAAATTAGGTCAAACTTGAAGGTCAAGGTCATGGGGTCAATTATGATAGCACATTCGGAAACATTTTCACACAAGTAATGCATTTTGTCAAATATGAACACCCTATCATATCTCGTTCAAAAAATCATCAAAGTTAAAATTTTTGAAAATTAGGTCAAGATCAAAAAGTCAAAAATTATAGCATGCTCCAAAATGTCTTGTCACAGAAAATGCACATATCAAATATGAAAGCCCTATCTTTTTTCAATCAAAAGTTATAAGCAAAGATGAAATTTTAGTAGGTCAAACTTCAAAATCAAGGTCATGGGGTCAAAAATTGTCAAATATTTGGATGGGTTTTGTCACAGGTAATGTACATGTGCAATATGAAAACCCTATCTTTTCTCATTCAAATTTTATGACCAATTTAAAGTAACATTGAATTTTTTGAAAAGTAGGTCAAACTTCAAGGTCACGGGGTCAAAAGTCATAGTATATATGGAAAGGTCTTGTCACTGGTAATGCACATGTCAAAAACGAAAGCCTTATCTTTTCTCAAGATTATAAGATTATATTTCTGAAGTAATAAGCAAATAAAACTTTTGAAAAGTAGGTCAAACTTCAAGGTCATGGGGTCAAAAATCATAGTATATTTGGAAAGGTCTTGTCACAGGTAATTAACATGTAAAATATGAAAGCCCTATCTCTTCTCATTTAAAAGTTATGACCAAGGTCAAACTTTTTGTGACAGACAGACAGATGGACAGACTGACAGACAAATGAGATTTAATGTCCCCTCATTTTCATGAAAGTGGGGGACAAGGAGTCCCCATTTTATTGCAATTAGAGTAACATTTTAGTGATAAGCTTCTAATTGTATCAAATAATCATATTATGTTAAAAGCTCATTATCAGAGGGTTTGAGAAAATGAGGGTAAAATACTTAAAGAAAGTTTTTGGACTTCCAAATCATTTCAACTTTCAACACTTTATACAACCATTCCCCACAATAAATTGAAGTCCAGGCTTTTTGACATCACAGACAGCTGCTTTTACAATAAAAATGGAACTCGTAAATATACTTACCTTGTCATTGGTCATTTACGGAATTATTTTGTTAAAAAGCACTCTAATTGTACACACAAGTACACTGAAGTTGATATTAAAAAGATGCTTGAGTTTCTGATCGACAATATCTATGTAGTTGTCGCCCGCGTGGCGCAGTGGTTAGAGCATCTGCTCTAGAGTTGCAGAGTAAGTTGATCCTTATGTCGTGGGATTGAATCCCACTGCGGGATGTGCAGACTGGCCCTTCGGATGAGACCATATAAACCGAGGTCCCGTGTCACATTAGGTGCTGGCACGAAAAAGATCCCTCACTGTTCAATGGCCCCGAGTGCCGAGTAAGGTCAAAATATGTAGCCCTCCACCGGCAAGTGGTGGCGACTCCAAATGAATGAAAAATTCTCAAGAGGGACGTTAAACAACATACAATCAATCAATCTATGTAGTTTTTGAAGATCAGGTCTTCCAACAATCTGTTGGATTTCCCATGGCAACCAATTGCGCACCCTTATTAGCAGACCTATTTTTGTATTCATATGAAGCAGAATTTGTTCAGAAACTTCTACATGAGAAGAAGAAAACACTTGCTGTGGCTTTCAACTCGACATTTCGATATATCGACGACGTATTATCAATTAACAATAGTTACTTTCATTCCTATTTCAACTTGATATATCCCAGTGAGCTTGAAATAAAAGATACCAAAGATTCTGACACATCTGTTTCATATTTAGATATTTTACTAGAAAAAGACGTTAATGGTGACTTAACAACAAAGCTTTATGATAAACGTGATGATTTCAACTTTTCAATTGTCAACTTCCCTTACTTACATGTGTGTATCAATATATCCTTATCACCTGCATATTGGGTTTACGTCTCTAAGTTGATTCGATATGCAAGAGCATGCTCTACCTATGAACAACTTCTAAAATGAGGCAAGCTATTGACAAACAAGTTGATGAAACAAGGATATCAACAGTCTTGTTTGAAGTCATCTCTTGGCAAGTTTTACGGTCGATACAATGACCTTGTCAGCACATACAACCTATCATTGAGTCAAATGCTGACTGACGTTTTTCATACTAATTGTTAGACCATTATTCATACACTGAACTGTCTACGGATTTCTCCGTTATTACCCGATCATTACAAGGAGCACACAGCGGGTGTGACCGATCGGTAGGGGATGCTCACTCCTCCATGGCACCTGATCCCACCTCTAAATTTTTAGGTCCATGTTTGCTCTGCTTCAAATTTGTATCGTTTCATTGTACTTTCGAGATTGAATACTGTTCGTTATCTTCATATTTCATTCAACATATACATGGCATTCAAGATATCTGTGTTCAAGATACCTAAGTTCAGCTGTATTATGTGCCTACTTCATCCATTAAAATAATTAAACTTTGACAAATAGAAAACATAAATATAAGATTACACATAGTACAGTGGCTTCCATTTTATCGGATAGCGGTTTAACGAATATTTCGGCTATTTCAATATAATATCAGAGCACAAAACCATTTCTTATATATTTATTAATAATTTCACCTGATATTCTGATGAGAAAATATTGGAATTTCGTTTTATCCGATACAAAAATTTGGACTATCATAGTGTTTTTTGATAATCAGCACCTTGTTCACACCTCCAACTTCGTATGTGAAGCCTTTGTTTACACAGTTTGACACCAATTACCTTGACTGGCTTGAGTACGACAATGAGCGGATTAGTTACGCCTGGACGCACACAGGCACCTTACCTGTGTCAACAGTGGGCATAGTAAATAGATATGTTTTGATTACAGTTGTGGTGATCAGCTTGGGTTCAATGATGCACTTGTTAATTATGACAATTATTTGCAATTTTTTTCGGCGTGAAATTTTAATTATTGAACTGATTAGCTTGTGTATGACAATTTCCTTGGATAATGAAATAAACCTATTCAATCATTTAACTTGGTCAATTGGCTTAATATTTATTCACTTTTCAGTGCAAAATTTATGGTAAAAATCACAAATGGCCCGTTCTATAAAAATACGTCTCAAAATTCATACCATCTTTCTCCACATGGCTCTCAAAATCTCTCTTCAGCAGACAAGAACGAGACTGGTAAACTCACACACAGTATAAAATACGTAACCGTATTAAAGAAACACATTAAACGAAACAATTACATATATTTAATATTTTTGTTTATTTTTAATTTACAATCTATCCAGGGAAAAATAGTTTACGGTTATTAGTCAAGCATTTAGTCTACTTCCGTTTCCAAAATGGCGACCATCGAAGAAGGAATGTAAACATGTGCTGAAGAAAGATGGCAAGAACTATCAAAGAATATATTCTATATGTCAATTTATTTGAAAAAAAATTTCATATTAAATTCATAAGTAAGTGAAATAAATAATTTTTAGTAAAGTCATTAAGTAAACGTGTCAAAAGAAAACGAAAGTGCAAGCTTGAAATTTGCTACGATATATTATCAATACATGTAGCTCTATACATCTATCTTTGGACTCGGTATGGAGCAATCGGCTATTCTAATTTTCGGCTATTCGGATAAAACTAGGCCGACAACTTGACTATTCGATAAAACGGGAACCACTGTACTACTATTTGTTTTTTTTTCTCTTTTAATTGTTAAAGGTTGCTTATAAAGCATCTAGACAAAACGTATAGAAAATATACCCACTCTTTCTTGAATTTTAGTTGGAACAACTCTAGGACTTTTATCTGTAGCTTGATGTTGGCCTTTCTTTTGAATTATTGCCTGCAACATCCAATGAAGAATATGGGTATCATTTAGCAAATGTTATCATATTGATTCATATAATGTAATTTTTGTTTCACTATTTTTCACATGAAATAATGACTCATACCTGTATAGCAATATTTTGTCGAACTGGTTTCTTTTCTACAAACAGCACTTCACTGTCCACTGAAATCAGAGATTTTTAAATAGCTACGATTACAGTCAAACATTGTTATCTTGAACTCAATGGGACCAAGAAAACACTGAGAGATATCCAAGGATTCAAGATACTCAGGGTATAAAACTTAAAGAATAAGTGGTTAGACTTCAAAATCACTTGGTCATATCCATGGTATTAAGTTTTGGTGTTTAATGGTGTTAAAGTTACTGAAATTCAAATACAGGATGTTTCAGAAAACATGCAACCATTACCTTTCCTCACTTAATTGATATACGCACAGAATCATATAAAAGTTTTATTCTAAAAAGGCTTTAATTTTTATCAATAACAAGAGATTGAGAAATAATTACCATTTGAAATAATTATGATGTCATATTTGACATCATTGAACAAGAGGCCCATGGGCCACAACGCTCACCTGAGTACTGTAGATTCCTTATTTTACGTGAGTACTTAATATCGCGAAATGGCCCAAGGGCGTCAAATCGCGAGAACAATCATTCGCGAATGGGTGATTTATCTAGAGATTTTACATACATTAAAGCACCATAAAAATAAAAGCGAGTAATTTTATTTCGCGAAAAGTGCTTCTCGCGTAATTACGCAATAATTAACTCCTTGCATATATTTAGAAATCTACAGTAACTTTGGTCTTGTTGTTTTTCTCCTGATTTCCCCCCTTGTAGTACTTATTTTGGCCCCACCGTACCCCCAGAGGTCATGATTTGAACAATTTAGAATCTACACTACCCCAGGATGCTTCTACATAAGTTTCAGTCTTTCTGACCCAGGAGTTCTTGAGATTCATCGATTGATTGTATGTTGTTTAACATCCCATTCAAGAATTTTTCACTTATATAGAGACGTCACCATATACCGGTGAAGGGCTTCAAATTTTGACCTTCACTCTGCACTCAGGGCCATTGAGCAGTGAGGGATCTTTATTGTGCCAATGCCTGTCATGACACAGGGCCTCAGTTTTTAAGGCCTCATCCGAAGGACCCGAAACTTTCACTTCAAAGTGCTGAGCGCATGGCGAAGGAACAGTTGCTACCCATTTTATATCGACTTACGTCTGTCGCGGCCGAGATTTGAACTCACGACCTCACGAACGAGCGCTCTACCGACTGAGCTACCGTGAACGGTCCGAGTTCTTGAGAAGAAGATTTTTACTACATATTTCAATGTAAAACTTGGATCCCCTATTGTGGCCCGGTCCTACCCCAGGGCTCATGATTTGAACAATTTAGAATCTACACTACCCCAGGATGCTTCCACTTAAGTTTCAGCTTTTCTGGCCCAGTGGTTCTTGAAAAGAAGATTTTTAAAGATTTTTTTTCTACATATTTCAATGTAAAAATTGGATTCCCTATTGTGGCCCTGCCAGACCCCTGGGGGTCATGATTTGAACAATTTAGAATCCACTCTACCCCAGGATGCTTCCACATAAATTTCAGCTTTTCTGGCCCAGTGGTTCTTGAGAAGAAGATTTTTTAATGACCCCACCCTATTTTTGTCTTTCTTGATTATCTCCCCTTGGAAGGGGGATGGCCCTTCATTTTAACAATTTAAACTCCCCTTCATGCAAGGATGCTTTGTACAAAGTTTGGTTAAAATTAGCTCAGTGGTTCTTGAGAAGAAGTTGAAAATGTGAAAAGTTTACAGATGGATGGAAGGACAGACGACGGACAATGGGTGATCAGAAAAGCTCACTTGAGCTTTCAGCTCAGGTGAGCTAAAAACAGATGATTTCATTTTTGATAAGAGGCAAACATCAGAAATTCTGAAACTGTTTTATCAAAGAATGTATCCAGTTCTTGTGATTAGGACAATAAAGATGAGGTATCCAGAATTCAAAGATCTTATTATGATAATTAACATTATGGATGTTGTACAAAGTTGTTAAAAACTTTGAAGCTTATGGAACATGTCAAAAGTTGTTGATTAAAGAAAAGGAAAAAATTGGAAGAACAGACAATTAGAACACATGAAAACATAGAGAATGTCAGAGACTTGCATAAAATCCTTAAATACAAAAATTAAGTTTATGAATTATTTATTTTATGCCTCTTTGAAACTAAGAATTGTAACTACTTCCAAATCCTTAAGCCTCATTGTGACCTTTGGGTCAAAGGTCAAGGTCAAAGGTCATTAAAAAAAAAATCTTTATTTTCTATGCTTTTACCTGATACTGGAGCTGGATGCATGTCCTAACTTTTCCATTTGACCCAAGGTCAAGGTCAAAGGTCAAGCTCATTTGGTGAATTGCTATATTTTACACATATATAAGGAATTTCTTATGTTTTTAAATGACCTTGACCTTTGACTTTGACCTATATTTCAAGGTCAAAGGTCAAGTATGCCGATGCAGTTGGTCCCATGTCTCTAGGATACACCGTTTTAAAAAAAAGTTCATGAAATGTAAGCAGCGAAAACTTTCAGGGACAGTAACTATAAATCTTTTCGATAACTTATGAAACAAAAAATCATTCGGAAGAAAAATAATAATAATAATAATAAACAGAACAATTTCAATAGGTCTTTCCACAGAAAGGTGGAAAGACCTAATAATAAGAAACAATAGAATCACTATAAGGTCTTCCGTGGAGACAGAAGACCTTAAGTAGAAACTCATTGCGAGCAATGAGAGGTCTTCCGTCTGGTTCTGAAAATAAAAACGAAAATTCAAGCTGAAAAATTGATAAAAGAAATTCAGACACTCTGGAGATTTACCCTGGTCGTCAGCATGAAAATCCAACGTGCTAACCATTAACCATTCACTTTTTTACATCACTTCCTGTCAAGACCGGAAGTAATGGCAACACACGATTTTCATACGATGCTAATAAACTGATGACGGACTATCAGTCCTGAAAGTTTCAGACTTCAGTCGTTTATTTTTGCTGAGCAATTGCGAGAACAAATTCTAATTTTGAGGACAGGAAAAAACGCGACCGGAAGTGAATTTTATAAAAAATCTCTGACAGGTCTCTAGACATTTGCAGTATCTACATGTATTAAGACATTTCAATACTTTTTCTATAAGCGATATTTATGAGAAAGTTAAATATCGAAATAACGTTTTTTATATCCTAAAACCGGAAGTTGACGTATTTGTTTCTGGTGGAATCTAACATATTTCAAAACAGCTAAAGAGATGCAATAAGGTGATGCAAGTTTTAATTTAAAAAAGAAAAGTTGAAATTTTTGATTTCTTTGATCACTTCCTGTGACGACCGGAAGTGATGGCTGACAGTTTAACCCAAATGCTTTTGACTACTCTTCAAGGTCTATTACTCATATAAGTTTGGTGTCTTAATCTCTTACTGTTTCTGAGATCTCGCTCAGATATTTTCTCATTTTGAGGACAGGAAATCACGCAACCAGAAGAGATTTTTGCAAAGATATTTGACGTTACTTTAGACATTTGCACTCTGAATAACATGTCTAAAATTCATTTCAAATACTTTATCTATAAAAGATATTTATGGGAAAGTAATATACCCAAATTATGTCGTCACCAGAACCCCTGACCCTGGGGCCATGAAATTCACAATTTTGGAAGAAGCACCTTTCATCATAACTATGTATTTATTTTGTTTTCATAATATCCAAGAGCACAGAAGAAGCTTTTTAAAGAAATAATGCATTATCACTATATATTCAACAGAGCCCCACCCTAACACCAGAACCCCTGACCCTTGGGCCATGAAATTCAAAATTTGAGAAGAGACACCTTTCCTCATCATAACTATGCATATTGTTTCCTAAATACCCAAGAGCAGAGGAGAAGATTTTTTTTAAGAATAATGCTTTTCACTACATATTCAACAGAGCCCCAACCTAGCACCAGAACCCCTGACCCTGGGGCCATAAATTTCACAATTAAGGTAGAGGGCTCAATGCTTATTACATTCATGCCAACAGTTTGCCTGCTTGATGCCCAGGAGTAAAGAAGATTTTTAAAGATTGCATTAATTCTGATGGTTTTAGCCCCACCCCTCAGGCCCCAGGGGGTAGGGGTCATGAATTTCACAATTTTTACTCCCCTTCACATATAGATGCTATGGGCCAAATTTGGTTGAAATTGGTTCAGTGGTTCCAGAGAAGAAGCTGAAAATGTTCAAATGTTAAAGCACGATGGACGACGGACGACGCACGCTGACGGACGAAAACAGATAGCAATAGGTCACCTGAGTAAACTCAGGTGACCTAAAAATCAGTTCAAATATGTTATCTATAAAAAAATATTTATGGGAAACTAAAATACTCAAATTATGCAGTTTTTCGCTTATAGCCGGAGTTTGTTGTTCTTGTTTCCGGTGGGACTAACATATTTCAAAACTACAAATAAGATGCAACAATGTGATGCAAGAAAAAATTCAGAAAAGAAAAGTTGAAAATTTCGATTTCTATGATCACTTCCTGTGACAACCAATAGTGACGGCTGACGCTCTTAACCCAAATGGATTTGCCTACTCGTTAAGGTCTATCACTCACATATGTTTGGTGTCTTAATCTCTTACCGTTTCTGAGATCTCACTGGGACAAAATATTTTTGAAAAAAATGAAAATCGGACATATCTGACGACCGGAAGTGAATTTTGAAAAAATGAAAAAAACGTCTGGGGGTATTTTCATTTTCTATCGTCCCTGAAAATTTCAAGAAAATCCACCCAGCCATCTCTGAGAAATCGAGGGGGGCATGAAAAAGGGGGGAAAAAAATGACAAGAGGCCCAAGGGCCTTAACGGTCACCTGAGTATAATACAACAATTTAGAGGATCCATAGAGTATAAAATGAACTGAAAGGTGAAGCTTTGTTGCCCAAAAGCAAGAAAAATAGGATGATCAGGATCAACAAAATAATTAGTCTAGCATTCAGTAACAGTTCATAATTTAGGTTCTAATCTGTTCCCCATTATCACCAATCACCATACAGTATATAAACAAACTATCAGTGCTTCTATACTATTTTAATTCCTTGTTGAAAACTCTTACATTGA